CAATTCGGGGTAGTACCCCATCAAAATCTTTTCTACATTAGCAGGGGGTCTATATAATGAGCATTTTTTTGGTTAACACCCTTTTTGGGGCAAAACTCTACTGATCTCTCAAGGCAATGTGGGCCCCAAAACAAACCGCAATGCCAGGACGCCCCAGATCGGGAGCTCTTGCACATTGTGGGCAAGCTGACCGACCCGGAGATCTCTGCCGAGGTACTCCAGAATGGATGGATATAAGATATCAGATATACGATAATATAATATAATATAAAAAATATAATATCATATATATTAAGGGGCTACGCCCCCTGCCGCCGACCCCAGGCAGGGTAGCTTGGGGCGGCGAGCGGGGGGCGGTAAACTGCTAAATACTCGTCGAGCTGATTTACCTTGTTCTGTTTTTTCTATCCAATCTTTTGGAGATCCCTAAATTTATATATGTTGTAAAGCCCGCACAGGTCTTTTCTATCCAATCTTTTCTATCCAATCTTTTCGCGTTGCAAATGGCTTGCTTGCAGGTCGCACGCATACGCACACGTGTCCGACATGCAGCGCGGTGGTGCATTCAACAAAAGCTTCCGGCCGAATTCAAGTAACTCATCGCACTCCCAACGGAAAGCAGTGTCCCACCAACCACTGGCACGTGCATAGTTGATGGAACCCTCCGGGCAACGGCTCCCACTGCCTAACGTCGCTTTCTGAACCTACAAGAAAACTAGCTCTCTTCCAGCCGTCAAGGCTCACAAACGGCGCCCTCGCCACAGCAAAACAGCAGGGCCCTGAAGGACGGACCGAGCCTCCGGGCAACGGCCCCCACTGCCTAACGTTGCTTTCTAGCTCTCTTCCAGCCGTCAAGGCTCACAAACGGCGCCTCCGCCACGCCCAAACAGCAGGGCCCTGAAGGACGGACCGAGCCTCCGGGCAACGGCTCCCACTGCCTAACGTTGCTTTCTGAACCTACAAGAAAACTAGCTCTCTTCCAGCCGTCAAGGCTAACAAACGGCGCCCTCGCCACAGCAAAACAGCAGGGCCCTGAAGGACGGACCGAGCCTCCGGGCAACGGCTCCCAAACTAGCTCTCTTCCAGCCGTCAAGGCTCACAAACGGCGCCCTCGCCACAGCAAAACAGCAGGGCCCTGAAGGACGGACCGAGCCTCCGGGCAACGGCTCCCACTGCCTAACGTCGCTTTCTGAACCTACAAGAAAACTAGCTCTCTTCCAGCCGTCAAGGCTCACAAACGGCAGCCTCGCCACAGCAAAACAGCAGGGCCCTGAAGGACGGACCGAGCCTCCGGGCAACGGCTCCCAAACTAGCTCTCTTCCAGCCGTCAAGGCTCACAAACAGCGCCCTCGCCACAGCAAAACAGCAGGGCCCTGAAGGACGGACCGAGCCTCCGGGCAACGGCTCCCACTGCCTAACGTCGCTTTCTGAACCTACAAGAAAACTTCCAGCCGTCAAGGCTCACAAACGGCGCCCTCGCCACAGCAAAACAGCAGGGCCCTGAAGGACGGACCGAGCCTCCGGGCAACGGCTCCCACTGCCTAACGTTGCTTTCTGAACCTACAAGAAAACTAGCTCTCTTCCAGCCGTCAAGGCTCACAAACGGCGCCCTCGCCACAGCAAAACAGCAGGGCCCTGAAGGACGGACCGAGCCTCCGGGCAACGGCTCCCAAACTAGCTCTCTTCCAGCCGTCAAGGCTCACAAACGGCGCCTCCGCCACGCCCAAACAGCAGGGCCCTGAAGGACGGACCGAGCCTCCGGGCAACGGCTCCCACTGCCTAACGTTGCTTTCTGAACCTACAAGAAAACTAGCTCTCTTCCAGCCGTCAAGGCTCACAAACGGCGCCCTCGCCACAGCAAAACAGCAGGGCCCTGAAGGACGGACCGAGCCTCCGGGCAACGGCTCCCAAACTAGCTCTCTTCCAGCCGTCAAGGCTCACAAACGGCGCCTCCGCCACGCCCAAACAGCAGGGCCCTGAAGGACGGACCGAGCCTCCGGGCAACGGCTCCCACTGCCTAACGTTGCTTTCTGAACCTACAAGAAAACTAGCTCTCTTCCAGCCGTCAAGGCTCACAAACGGCGCCCTCGCCACAGCAAAACGGCAGGGAGGGCCCTGAGGGACGGACCGAGCCTCCGGGCAACGGCTCCCAAACTAGCTCTCTTCCAGCCGTCAAGGCTCACAAACGGCGCCCTCGCCACAGCAAAACAGCAGGGCCCTGAAGGACGGACCGGGCCTCCGGGCAACGGCTCCCAAACTAGCTCTCTTCCAGCCGTCAAGGCTCACAAACGGCGCCTCCGCCACGCCCAAACAGCAGGGCCCTGAAGGACGGACCGAGCCTCCGGGCAACGGCTCCCAGTGCCTAACGTTGCTTTCTGAACCTACAAGAAAACTAGCTCTCTTCCAGCCGTCAAGGCTCACAAACGGCGCCCTCGCCACAGCAAAACAGCAGGGCCCTGAAGGACGGACCGAGCCTCCGGAGAAAACTAGCTCTCTGAGCTGTCTTCCAGCCGCCTGCCTAACGTTGCTTTCTGAATCGACAAGAAAACTAGCTCTCTGACCTGTCTTCCAGCCGCCTGCCTAACGTTGCTTTCTGAATCGACAAGAAAACTAGCTCTCTGACCTGTCTTCCAGCCGCTTGTTGCTTCCTGGCTTCTTGTTTCTTGCTTCTCTGACCTGTCTTCCAGCCGCTTGTTGCTTCCTGGCTTCTTGTTTCTTGCTTCTTGCCGCTTGTTGCCTGTAATTGCTTCTTGCTTCTTGCTTCTTCTTTCTTGTTTTTTTGCTTCTTGCCCTTGCTGTTTGTAATGACTTCTCTGACCTGTCTTCCAGCCGCTTGTTGCTTCCTGGCTTCTTGTTTCTTGCTTCTTGCCGCTTGTTGCCTGTAATTGCGTCTTGCTTCTTGCTTCAATGTTTTCTTGCTTCTTGCCCTTGCTGCTTGTAATGACTTCTTGGCCCTTGCTGCTGGTAATTCCTCCTTTGACGCGCTCCCCCTGCTGTCGGCAGGGGTCGGCGGATATATATACACATTAATTATTTGATATCTGATGGCTATATATATATATGTATAATATCTACTATGGATACAATTATAATATGTACAGAACTACAAAATGTAACATCTAACATATAACATAACATATATAATTTGAAATATGTAATAATATATGTATAATTTTGTACATGTTACACAATATATAGTATAAAAACTATATAATACATGCGTACATGCCTACGTACATACATACAATCATAATATAAATATATATGTATGTATACATACATACCATGCCATGCCATGCCATGCCATACCATAACATACCATACCATACCATACCCTACCATACCATACATACTATATAATACTCCTACGAATAAGTACGCGCCCACAACTGGAGGTCTTTCCCCCGTCCACCAGGTGAAAAAAAGGGGCCCTCCGTCAGGTCTTTGTGTACTCCTATGACTCCATGCTGTCGCTTCGCCGTGCTATTTGCAAGGCTTTGAAGGTGCCTCACTGTAGCCTGATGCTGCTTGGCTACAAAAAGGCCGAGAGAACCATGGATTTTTTGATAAAAAAAACTATGACCCCCCATAAAACTGATGATTTATTGTAGCCAGACCAAAACATGAAATTCATGCATGAAGAAATGCTTTTGCCACTTGACTATCCCCCAAAAAGGATGATCTCGTAGAAATACTGATGTGATTATTGCATGCGGTTGCTTTGGTACCCCAATGTTGACTCCTTTTGACTTGGGGACAATTTGGAAAACTAAGAGGGGAGTTGAAAACCACCGAAATAGGAGTGAAACTGGTAAAGATGAGGCTTGAAACAACACACATTGGGATTTCAGTGACTTTGACAAAAAGACATCGTATTTTTCAAATTTTCACTATGATTTTCACTGGCCACTATGGTATGCAGCAGCCTCGGATCCAGCAACATCGGGGATCTCAAGCAACCAACATGGTGGACGTTCACCATGAGCTCGTCCTCTGGTGCTGGAAACCTGGAAACCTGGAAGAGTTTTTCAATGCCCAGGCGAAAATCAATGGTTGGAACACGTTGGAACCCCTAAAAGTCCAAGAACCCAGGTTGCAGCTTTCCAACATCATTTCATCGAAATCCATCTATTACTCAATCCCGAAGTGCTGGATTGGTGTCCCTAAACCCAAAGGTTCAAGGGCTACGAGACGCAGATGCATCAGACCTTACAGGCTGGACGTTGCCCGAAGAACAGACAAACATGGGGTTAGCTACCGATCACTGGGTCGGTGAAAACATCCCATTGCTCGGTTGCCGATTTATGGTCATCGAAATCTCATGTAGATCATGGGTGTTTCCCATAGGGGTACCCCCAAATCATCCAAAACTATTGGTGCTATTGACGCAGACGGTGTTTTTGGTCAACCTTGGATTTTTGCACTACTGCACCGAAAAAATGTTGGGTCCAAGATTGGCAATGTATTTAGAGTACCCTCTGGTAAACTAACATAGCTATGGAAAACCAACATTTTTAATGGGTAAATCAGCTATAAATGGCAATTTTCAATAGCTATGTTAAATTACCAGAGGGTATCCCTTTTGGTGATTTCTTTTTGGATTTCTGTGTGGAGGAAGCCGGACTCGAGAACCACTCGGAGGTTCAAGTGGTGCCTGTGAGCGAGGCGGATGGGGATTTCACCATTGGTGATCAAAGGATTCGCCATCTTCAGAACGGATCACCATAGGTGGCAGGGAAATCATGGGAAATCATGAACTTACTTGTTCTTAGTAGGGAATGAGGGACTGATCCACAATAACTATCAACAACCATCCCATTCCCCCATTCCCATCAATTCCCTACTAAGCACCAGTAAGTGAAACATCATTCTTCCAAAATTGCATATGAATCATATTGGTCTTGTGAAATACCGTCATCATGATGGATGTGGGTCCTGCAGGCTGAATTGATCAGCCGTACCACGAAAGTGGTGTAAATAAACCGCTGATGTGACTCAGTTCGTGGAGTATGGTGAGTTGAGTGACTTTCACTTATTGGTATACAGATATAATTACACATATGTATATATAATTATATATATACATATCTAGGGGGTTTCCTTTAAAATTTGGATCCCCAAGTCACCATGGGTTTGAATCCTAAGTCATGGTCCTTTCGCGGCGAGGTGGCGTTGGCGTCTGCCTCAGCAGATGGAATGGCCTGGAAGCTCAATGGGGATAGGGATGATTTGATCACCGGATTTGGGGGTAGCTTATGGCAGCTTACTTCCGCACAAAGCCATATATGTATATATATATATGTATATATATATATATATAGATTGTATATATATTATATGTATATACGCAAACCAGGCTCCAATTCATGGATCCAATACATCCCACCGGAGCTTTGGAAGGTATTTGATGTAATTTGATGTTTTGGAGAAGGATGGCGAAGGGATCAACTGACCGTGAATGACTAGCAACAGATTGACGCAAATGGGAATCTGACTATCAAGCAATGGGAAATTAGACCTACAATGAATGTGGGATTAGACCATCAATGGGGATGACAACCAGCAAACGTCGACAATTTGGACATGGGTAATGGATGGTAAAGGTTAGAACGACCCAAAAAGGACAGATGGACTGGTCAATTTTGAAGAGCAAATCATAGTAAACCATCCTATTTAGTAAAACCCAGGGCCCCAACCATCCCATGTTTTTTGGTGTTCCAATAGCTGACTTGACCTACCCATATGGGACCCTGCCAGGACCCCCATCCCCACTTTCCCACCTGTTTTTTCGCCTTTTTTCAGGTCTTTATTTGGGATGCCATTGGCGGAAAATGCTTGGAAACCCTAAGGCGCCATCTTCCGGGTGCTTGGGCAGCTGGGTTTTGTCGAAAAAGTCGATGATGCTGCTGCCGGCCCAGGGGACACAACTCCTCAGCAGTACACTGTTGCTCTTTTTCGACCACTGGACGGCTCTTGGGCACCACCAGCTGGGAGCCTTAGCACGGCCGGATTCTTCAGCCTGTACAAGAGTCACAGGTGTAAATTCCATGGTTAGTGTCGTGGTAGTGCCAGCGTTTGTAGTGTTTCACAGCTTAAATTTAGATCGGCTTAGATCATTTCGTGTAATCGTGTAATCTTTTTTTCTGATTCCAGATAACTATTCCACATTTTGGGTTGTCTGAAAATATGTATAACATCCCGAAAGCCCACTATGTATGTATCATCATTTTCCCAAGTGACACGGCATTTTTGGTCTATTCCCCCAGTTTGAGACTGCAAAACCCATTGGATATGCTGAGGTGTTGACTGTGCAAAGGTGTGGGAGACGTCCACGGGGCAATGCAGGAAACCTCAGGGAAAGCTGGAGCACGTTGGTTTCCCGTCGGGTATCTGTTGGAGATTACATCCCCAGCTGGGTGATGCCATTCTTGGGATCCCTGCATCGGATTCTGCGATGGAAAATATGGGATTTTGATGGATTGTGTACGTAAGAGTAGAAGATGACACACCAGAAAACCCTGGTGAAATGTGGTAGAACTGGGCCTTTTGGGTGTGTCGGGATTTCTCAACTGACAGACTGCCAGGTTTCAGTGAGTAGAGATGACCAAAAAGACATGGGCTTTCCCGTGTGTGTTTTGGCACATTCCCATGTGAGGGTTTGTTATGTTCCTGGTCATTTTAGATCATTTTGGTATCGCTGAAGAAATCGATGGAGGGATGATTAGGGTAAGGCCACTGACCCTCTGGTTCCGCTCACCGTTGGTCAGTGGAGCCGGATTTTCCCAGCCTCACCAACTCGTTGAGGTGCAATTCCCAACCCTCTGCTGGTGTTCTTTTCCTGGCGTAACCTAAATGAACCTCGACGTGAGACGAACTACGTTTTGCACAATGGACATTTTGTTGTGCTGTGTAGTTGCACCAGTATTTGGACAGCTATCCTGGAGGTCATTGCACCCTGGAAGGACATAAAGACTGGGCATTGCACTCAGACAGCGAACGGAGGGGTACATTCGAAGACAAACATGTCCTTGCTTTGGCATCGAAGTCTCGAGTTTTGACCGGTTAAACTTGATGCGTAAAGTTTTGACTTTCAAATTTGCCAATATTCAAACTTGCCCTTTGTGACTTAGTTTGCTCTTCCAACAACCAGAAACAGCGGACTGTAGCTTCGTACTTGAAATGTTTGAGGGTGACCCAGAGCAGCTGAACAGTGTTCAACACCCCTGTTGGTTGATGATTGGTTCGGTGGTTATACTACAGTACCCTATATATAGGGGAGTGTCTTTTTTTTTTGCCTTCAACATCCATGCGCCTCACTTTGGGTTGTTTGGACTATGTTATGTGAAAGACATGCACTCAATCTGCAGCAGAAGGTTAGTGTCAGGAAACCACTTGGCAGCAGCCTTCCGGACACCAAATGCTTCCCCTTCAAAATGCAAGCACGCTGAGAGCAGGATGGCAAGCACCGCATTGGGATTGGCAAACCTAAGCGCACAGTGAATTCAATTTAAATTGATTGTACCAAAACCAAATCAAAATAAGTGATTTGTCTCTCTCTCTCTCTCTCTATACTATATATATATATGATACATACAATATTAATATGAGTTGACACGGTGCAAGTCGCAACCGTTTTTACTGAGAATAGAAGGAACACATTTTACCAACCTTTGTGCGCGCCGCCCAGCAGATTTGCAGGGAGAGATGACCGTAGGGATGCACCCGAACCTAGTTGCGAAATCGCAATGAGCAGCAAAAGATGTCACCATTAGGAAACCGGCAAACTTAGGTACACTGTAGCGACAAATGGCTTCTAGATAGCCTCATGGGAACCCCCTTTAACTCGAATGGCACGGATGTTAGTCCCCAGCGGCCAGCGGCGCCCAAACGGCCCATTGCTCGGCGATGCGCAGATACTTGAAATAGTGACTTCTCAGTCGACCCAACACATCAGGTGGAATTGGCTGAACAAGTTGTACACATTCAATGGCCCTGTGTTCATCCCCAGCTAGCTAGCCTAGTCACATTGCCCAGTGCACAAGCCTGTTTCCCAACCATTCTCCGGCTAGGGGCGCAGCTGCAAGGTTTGGTGGTCAACATTTTAACAGGTTCTCCAGTAAAATTTTGGGAGTTGCGGGTGCAAAGGACATGTTACCAGGAAGACCTGTAGTTCAACAGCTGGCGCAAGAACAGGAATCAAGACTTGGAGTCTTCCTTGGAACAGCCCCTGCGCTGCTGTTTTGGCGAGTTTATCAGCAACATTGTTACATTGTGTTACATTTAGTAATCCATGGGTCTGTTTTTTTTTTTCCCTTGATTTACGCTGTCCCAAACCTTTCGCACATCAATTCTATTCATTCTATTTTGAAGGGCGACTCTCACCGCTCTGTCAGATGAATGTCATCATTTGTGATTCTCATCCATGAGCTTGAAATCCCGTTGACCAGGCAGAAATTGAACCAACCATGACATTTGGGATCTAGCAGCCTGAACACTGCACACTACTCAACTGAATGTGGATGGCTCAGGTGGTGAGTATTGGTTTTGATGCAGGGGAGAACCTTGCGATCACGGCTAGCCTGGACTGTAGTGCAAGGCAAGGACGGATCGGGGCAACTTGTGCATGCACTCAGGACCTAGGGGTCCCCAATAAGATGGCGAAGAGTGTTCCCAAGATGTTTCTTCGATTGTTTTTGTCAGAACTTCGAGGTTTCCAAGTCGGCTTCTATTTGGGGGTTGCTATACCTGAGGTGTAGAATAGAATTTCAGGCCAATAATCTCTCACAACTCTTCTTTTATTCATAGTTTGACTTCTTGAATAGTGAAGCTGCGCCTGAATTCTCTTTCGAGCCAATCCGGCTTGAGTTGAGTCGCCCATTTTCATGGGTGACACCCACAAAAAAGCCACTTGTGAATCTAAACTGGCAATGGAAACGACCCGTTTCGTATAAGTATATAGTTGATCGATGTTGATCTTCATCAAGTTCCATGATTTTTCCACAGGTGATTCCCTGCCAGGCTTTGGGACCTGGTCTCTGCGAGGCGGAGAACAGGGATAGACAGGGTTTTTCGCAGTGGCTGAATGTGGCTGATACACCTAACAGTTGCTGAAATCCCTTGGGAATTTAGGCCCGGAATCGCACAGATGCTTTTTGACGTGGATATAACATGATATAACTCAGTCTCTCTGGGTCTTTTCCGGCGGGCAGGCCGCCGAAATTCATTGAAGTCAAGAAACTGACAGATATTTTGTCTCGAAATTGAGCAATGAAAGAGCTCTTCAGCCGCCCTGAACTGCTCAGAAACGACTTATGAAGGGCTTGCTTGCATTTAGTTATGTAATCTCAATCTAATCTATGTACAACATACATCAGCTTTCTTTTTGTGTTGGTACGAATAGAAAGACACATGTTACAGCTGCAAAAGAGAGTGCCAAACATAAACAAACTTGGTTGACTATCCCGATCAGAAACCCACCAGTCACGACCATTTTTTTCCAGGTTCTCGTTGGGATACTCCATTGCAGTGCCCGACCAATACACTTTGGAACCACCTACAGCCACTTACAATTCCTGGGATGTACGAAACATCCAGATGGTGGGTTGAAGCCATTCGAAACCTATAACAACATTAATATGTATAGTACATAATCTTGTGTATCATATTTTGAGTGATAAACACTACCAACATCCATAGCTACCCAGTTGTCGATGAAGTTTTGCTGTTGAGCACTGTGAGCGACACACAGCGTCCGACTGATTGCCGAGTCCGGGCCCAAGAAATGCCAGGTGTGTGCAAGTCTTTCCTGGTGGAGTCAGTCTGGCGCTGAGATAATCAATGGAATCAGACAGATATGATGATGAATGATGATGAATGATGATGAATGATGATGAATGATGATGAATGATGATGAATGATGATGAATGACGATAGATTTGATGATAGATTTGATGATTTGATTTTTTGAAGAGGAGATAGGGGGATTTCCTTTAAGCTGGTAAGCGCAGCTATCAATTATTTGACCTGCCTGGGGGCCAAAATCCCTGCGATCCCAGTTGTTCTTGAAAAAAGCGGATACCAGTCCCAAGTTGAAAACGCAGCTGTGTGAAAATATGATATTCCCAACAATTTTCTGCCCCGAACAAGTCTGCCAGGTCATATTGTTCATGATATTCCCATGTTTCCATTACATCCTGGTAAACTATTGCCCCCAAGCCCCACGGTATTTTTCCCCGCAACCGGATCCACGTGGCGACCGAGGTCCAATATTTTGGGCTTCCTTTGATCCCGACGGTGACCAAATGGAAGTGGCCACGGCCAGCCGGGTTCCCAGTTGCAAGAGGACCGCAGGGTGATTATGCCTTGGGAGGTGTGTATATATACAATAATAATAATTAAAAATAATAATACTAGTAATAATAATAATACTAGTAATAATAATATTTAATAATAATAATAATAATAATGATGATAATAATAATAATAATAAAAATAATAAAAATCATAATAATAAGAATAATAGTAATAATAATAATATTAATAATAATAATAATAATAACATATAGAGTATGATATTATATGATATGACATGATACGATATCATATTATAATATAATATAACATGATATGATATGATACAATGTAATGTAATGAAATATAATATAATATACTATAATATACTGTAATATAATATAATAATAAATCACATATAGAAAAGTACGACCCCACTAAAATAGTGATAATGATTGATAATTTAGTTTCATTTTTTTGGGTTACAATATACCAATATACATATGAATGTATATATATATACATAAATGTAATACTATTTATAATATCTATACATCGCTTTGGCTGACTTTTGCTCAAAATCGACGGAATTTCTTTCAGGACTGCAATCTGCTGTGTTGCTTTAGCGCCTATTTTTTGCAAACTGCGATCATGCAAAATATTGCCATTGCCTGTGTCTTGTTGCATATTTGCGCTTGTCTAAGGCAGTGCCAAAATCATCTTTTGAACCCTGACTCAAACACGTTCTCCGTAATTTGCAGGGTTTCAACTCTTAGAGTAAAATCCTCAACAGACAAGTCCAAAAACAATACAACATTAATCCAACCCAAAATAAGCCCCTAAAACAACCCTGAACGAACCAAAAATAAACTCTAAACTACCCCTCAAGAAACTCTAGAGAAACCCTAAATAACCCCCAAAACAACCCTCAAAAAATTGCACTAACCCCAAAGTGAATGAAACTTCGGGCAACCGTCCGTCCTGGGGGGATGTATGTATATATATATATATGTACACACATACGTAAACATATTTAATTGATATATCATCATTTTTTTCATCTTCTAGGTAACTAGTGCCCAAATCTTCCCCAGTTTTTCTCAAACTGAAATTACATTCTTGCCTGGAATTTCCCAAGTTTCTCTTTCATGTGGCTGGGGATCATGAGATGACGCGATGTAACTTTGAAGAAAATGCCCGGAGCACGACAAGCTGCAAGAAAATCATCTATGTGTGCTTTTGTCAACGTTGAAGACCGATGAAGATTCCGAGAACCACAGAGTCAAGATGGTTTTGGTCGTTTTCAGTCATATGAGGGGTTCCTAAAATGGGGTACCCCCAAATCATCCATTTTAATAGGTTTTTCCATTGTGAAGCATTCATTTTGGGGTAGCCCCATTTATGGGTTCCCCATCCTCTACGTCTCGGCCCTCGTGCTTCGGCGCCAGGCGCTGATGGCACTGCCACCATTTGGAAGCACAGTGGCGAGGTTCAGCAGGTCCTGCAAGGACATGAAGACAACGTGCTGATGGCCCCTTGGCGGCCTGTTGGAGATCAACCATGGGGCCGTTTCTAATCCTGGAAAAACTTGGAACCGGTTGGAACCGGTTGGAACGTGTTTGGAAGTCCACTAGATGTTACAAGTTTTCCCTGAGAAAAAATCCGTAGGCATTGTGTTCAGCCATCTTGTTGAAGAAACAATAAATACCTGGAACGTCCTGGAATCCTGGAACTAGATACAGTCTTGGTGTCCCAAGCTCTTGGTGTCCCTAAATCATTGTCCACCACAAATCTGGTCTGTTATGACGGGTCCTTAGGTCCTTAGGTTTTGGGAAGATGCACGTAGATTCTACAAGACCATGTGTACAGGAGAAAAGACGAGAAACGTGTTTTTAAGAATTGGTGTCAATGTGACAGTTAATAGTTCAGTGGTTTCGCCTTTTTCCCGAATGCGTAGCAAGGGTTCCCGTTTCACTCTGGGGGTCTGGGGGTTGAGGGTGTGTTCGCTCGACGTTGCGTTCACGGTCGCAACCGTTCGCAACCGTTCGCAACCGTCCGCAACCGTCCGCAACCGTCCGCAACCGTTCGCGTGAGGACCGTATGGCCGTGCCTATGGGAAGTTCTGCAGAGGTGGTAATTTTTGGAGGTTTCAGACGTGTCGTTGCTTCGTTTCGCGTGGCAGGCGTGGCACTTCGTGACATTCAGACGTGTTCTGGAACGTGTCGAAAGTTGTTTTGCGTGGCAGGCGCAATACTTTTGCGACGTTTTCCGAAGATGTGTTGCAGTTTTCGTGGCAGGTGCAGCACTTTGGACGTGTCCATCGTCATTTTTCGTGGCAGGCGCAGCATTTTAGACGTGTCATGTTGCGTGTTTTTTGCAAATCGCATTGGCAGGGCTGCGTCAAGTGGTGACAAGGTGCAAATTCCGTGGCAGGCGTGGCATTTTCTGACATGTGCTGAAAATTGACGGAAGCCTCGCACGAAACATCGATTTTGAGGTTGCCAATTTTCACGTTCTAAGGAAAACTCGTAGGAAAACGTCGATTTTGAAGCTACAAAGTGTGAAAATTGGAGGAAGTCTCGCACGAAATGCTCGTTTTGGTGCTCCCACGTGTCTCGTCTCGCGTCTCTGGTTTTCCTGTGGCCTCGCCGTGTCTATGGGGGAAGCTGCAAAACTTGTCCTTTTGTCATGTTGCCGACTGTGAAAATTGCCGGAAGTCTCGTACGAAATGCTGATTTTTCTGCATCCACGTGTCTCGTCTCGAGTCTCTGGTTTTCCTGTGGCGTCGCCGTGTCTATGGGGGAAGCTGGAAAACCTCTCCTCTTCGAATGTGTCCAAGCAAGTTGTCATGTCGTTTTGCGTGGCAGGCGTGGCACTTTGTGACATTCCAACCTGTTTGATAATGTGTCAAAAATGTCAAAATTGGAGGAAGTCTCGTACGAAATGCTGGTTTTTCTGCATCCACGTGTCTTGTCTCGAGTCGCTGGTTTTCCTGTGGCGTCGCCGTGTCTATGGGGGAAGCTGCAAAACCATGCAAAACCTCTCCTTTTCGAAGGTTTCCAAGCAGGTTGTCATGCCGTTTTGCGTGGCAGGCGTGGCACTTTTTGACATTCCAACCTGCTTGATAACATGTGGAAAATGTCAAAATTGGAGGAACTCTCGCACGAAATGCTCGTTTTTCTGCACCCACGTGTCTCGTCTCGAGTCTCTGGTTTTCCTGTGGCGTCGCCGTGTCTATGGGGGAAGCTGGAAAACCTTACCTTTTCGAATGTTTCCAAGCAGGTTGTCATACTCTTCACACTTTACACTTTACACTCCTCACTCCACACCCCACACTTTACACTCGACATTCCTTTGCACTCTTCACTCCACACTCCACACTTTACACTTTACACTTTCCATTTCACGATCCTTACGTTACACTCCGCACTGCACACTCCACACTTTCCACTCCACACTCCACACTCCACACTTTACACTCCATACTCCACACACTACACTTTACACTCCACACTTTACAATCGTCACTTTACACTCTACACTCCACACTCTACATTTTACACTCTACACTTTACACTCTACACTCCACACTCCACACTCTACACTTTCCACTCTACACTCCGCACTTCACATTTTACACTCCACACTCCACTCTTCACACTACACTCTACACTTTCCACTCCACACTCCCCACTTTACACTCCGCACTCTACACTTTCCACTCCACAGTCCGCACTCCACACTCCACACTTTACTTCACACTCCACACTCCACACTTTATACTTTACACTCCTCACTCCACACTCCACACTTTACACTCCTCACTTTACACTCCACACTCCACACTCCACACTCTACACACCACACTCTACACTTTCCACTCCAGACTCCACACTCTACACTTTACGCTCCACACTGCACACTTCACACTTCACACTTTACACTCCACACTCCACACTTTACACTCCTCACTCCACACTCCACACTTTACACTCCTCACTCAACACTTTACACTCCACACTTTACACTCCACACTTTCCACTCAACACTCCACACTCCACACTTTACACTCCTCACTCAACACTTTACACTCCACACTTTACACTCCACACTTTCCACTCCACACTCCACACTCCACACTTTACACTCCACACTCCACACTCTACACTCCACACTTTACACTCCACACTCTACACTTTACACTCTACACTATACACTCTACACTCCACACTTTACACTCCACGCTTTCCACTTTACACTCCTCACTCCACACTTTACACTCCACACTTTACACTCCACACTCCACACTCTACACTTTACACTCCATACTCCACACTCTACACTTTACACTCCGCATTCTACACTTTACACACTCTACACTCCCCACTCCACACTTTACACTCCACACTCCTTACTTCACACTCCACACTCCACGCTCTGCACTTTCCACTCCACACTGCAGACTGGTAACAAGGGAAACATGTACAAGACTGTTCAAATAAACTATTGCAGAAAGGTATTGTGCGTGACTGCATAACCATGTGTATTGACATCTGTACCATTAACATACGTGTGAGCATTCGGGTTCGTGGGCTTCATCTTGTTCCTTCCTCAAACCGTTTTCAAGCTTTTTAATTTGATTCTTTTTGCAGTCTTCCTGAAACTGAAGGGGAAAACCATCAAGACACCTTTAGGTGGGACAGTTGTTATTGGGTTGCAAAGCCATCATATTCGCTTCCTGAATTACAGCTGTTACATCCCATGAGTTTTGGTCTTTGCTGGATCAGTTATCTTAATAGAAACCCCCAAAAAGAACCGAGAAGATGGACACGTAATTTGCCACTATTTTGCAACTCTGTTAGGATTGGATTTTACTTTCTATCTTTTGGGCATTGCCAAAAGGGCCTTTTGGCTCGCCCTTCTTCCCCTAGGTAACCTATTCTGCCAACAGCAAACGCCTTCTGACGGCCTCCCAGGACGGGTTTTCCTCGCTTTCCAGGTTTCAAAAGATATTTGCGATCCCTTGTTGTTTGTTTTGCTTGGGTAATTTAGGGTAGGTAGACATCATTTCGAAGTTCAGAAGCTGGTGCAGTTTCACATTCTGAAGGTTTCGATTGGCTTCCTTCAGAATTTCTCTGCATGGTCAATTTATCAAAATTCGGTATGACCAGAGGAATCATCTCGAGAGATCGGCTGCCCAGCTCTGCGCCTTGCCAAGATGTTCCAAGATTTCATTCCAAGATTTTCTGGTTGGATATGGCAAATCTTGGGTCATAGCCGTTCAAAAAAAATGATGAATGCTGTGTAGTTCACATTCCCAGTGGAATTTTTCTGCGCGCACAGGACCGCACTGCCAGAATGTGGGAGGCTCACCTGTCAGCAGACCCTGGCACTGTACCCTTTTTAGGTCTCAGGAAAAACTACAGGGGGAAAATAGCGACAAACCACAGAGGGTTGAGAGAACCATGTTTGGAAGTATTTTCAAACCCAAATGACATCAAATGACCCATATTTGAAATGCTTCAAGGGCCGTTTTGAAGCTTGGACCCCGATGCCACAGGCGCTGTCTGGGATGTGTCTTCGAGAATTTCGTGGGCATACTGACACCGTGCAGGTTGGTATCCGCTACAGGAAGATAGAAACCTACGGAGAAATAAACAAAATAAACCTCTGAGAAAGTCACTACTTACAGCAACAGCTCATTTCTTCATTGGTTCACAGGGACAGTGAGAAAGTGTGTGAAATATTTGAAATAACGCGAATGTCTAGAGCGCACAAAATGCTGCGACCAAACCGAATCCATCCGAATCCCTATCTAAATTGTTTTTAAAACATGATAGGTGGTCGTGATGATCATGACTCTCGCTATTATCATATTTTCAAGTTACTTCTACTCATATTGTTGTCATTCTTGTATGAGTGTCTTGTTAATCATAGTCGTGCCACGATTATGAGTGCCACCCCCCACATGATGATTAATTCTCATTTAAATCCACCCAAAAATGGCCGGGCGTTTTTTTTTTCGTCCTCTCAGTCCTCTCCCAAAAATTGACGAACCAATGAGCTTCAACGAATTTTCCCAAAATTCCACCGAAATTCCCTAAGCATTTCCCAACAACAATCTAAGAAAGCAACAACATCTCCCCCACATCTCCCAACTTTACCTTCTCCAAACCATCCCATCGGTGCAGTCCGCCTTCTTTTCGGGCGATGGCCGTCTCTGCGTCACTGGCTCCATGGATCGCCACCTGGAGAAACATGCGATGGAGTTCCATGGGGATTTTCCATCATGCTCCACAAAAAAAGTGACCTGAGAGATTCTTTGGCCGCAAAATTGATGGAATGAATACTGTTGGGGTATGGACATGTATAGTTATGTAATATGTAACAATATTTCTACTCTACACATGCTTGTTGAAGACTATACATTGTTGTTTTTTTGTTTAACGCAGCCACCTGCAACCTTGGATCATTTGCCAAGCCCTTGGTCAGCTCACCTTGATGACCTCATTCTCTATCATTCTCCCAGTGATTTGATGGCAATCACGTGGGCTGTACCCCAATTACACCCCGATTTATGGCCACTCTTCACTGGGTTGAGCTTTTGGAGGAATATCTGAGAAAATCTGATGGTACCCTATTTAATGGCCCTATTTCAGACCTTGGTATTCTGTCATCATGCTGCTGGGGGGTGGAGATTATCACTGGAGCTAAGACATACAGAAACATGCGATTCAGTTGAGCTGCTCCTTGCCCATATATGGCTATGGATCAATGCCTGCAATCCATTTACTAGCTATTTTGGTTTTCACCAGGAGGGTTTTGACCCATCCCCATCAAGGTACTGCGCGAATTTGGGAGACCAAGACCGGGGACTGCTTACGGACCCTCTCGGTGCGCGCCGGAGATGTGTTGGTTGTGAGGGGAGGCCAGCTCCATGAACCATAATGCGTAGCTTTTCACAAAGGGCAAACAACACCGCCCCTCTATTTTCATGAAAAAGACGACATCATGATTTATCATCTCTGATCATCATGGAGTCTTCTGATTGTTGACGAAGTGAGTACCTTCATTTGGTTTGTAGTTTTATTTTTTCACATGTTTTAAATCTATACGATGTATTTCTTAAGCCCTACCTCATTGATGAACTCTAACCAATACTCTCCGGATGCGTTGGCACCAATCATGTTGTGTCGGGGCAAGCTGCTGACTCCATGTGATTTCTTCCAAAAGATTGAGGACTATCAGAGCTGGTGTGTAATCAGGTGCCACCAGTCATCTTCAGTACCAATCCAAAACAAAAAGCCAGTTTGAAACGGTCCTTGGATAAGCATCACATGGAGCAAAGCTGGAGAGGAACCATGCTTGATGACTGGAGACACACGAGCTATTAAACTTATTAAACATTCTAAACTGCTATAGACTTATAGGTTGTTATAGTTGGTTGATGTTGGTTGTACCTGGTTGGGATAATTCGAATCTTCTATGAATGGCTGGGATAGCAACAGCCCCGCAAGCCACTGGGACCAACGGGATGGGCAACCGGCGAAAAAGCCATGGTGATGGATCCCCGAATTGGTGGGTCTTCCCCTGGAAAATCCATGGGAAATTCATCATCAAAGGCCTTAAGGGAAAGAATTCGGCACCTAACTACTGAAGCTACTGGTGAATTTGTCTATTGCCATGCTTTTTGACCAGCTTTACCAACATTTTTATTTCCGTTTTTGCCACCCCAAATCAACCTCAGCCACCAGGGGAATGGCACATTTTGGGTGTTTCATGGTACTGCTGGGACATCACCATACCCCAGTAGTTCAGGGATGATTCCAGATACAGGTCACAGATGACTCTGCCAACAAACATGAGACATGTATTGATGTTTACTAATGTCAGAATCTCAAGCCTGGAGTATTGCACCCTGGTCAATTATCTTCACCTTCAAAGTAACAAGAACTAGATGCCAAAAATGGAGTCCTTCATCAACCAACCGAGGATTTTTTTTGCCCAAACTCAGGGAAAAAACGACTCGACTTTCAAGGCCCCAAAATTGGTTGGTTCCCCCATTTTCTGCATCCTACGGCATCCTCCTGCATCCTGATGAAATCCCGAAGATCTGCGCATTGTAGTGTATCTAGCAGCATCTAGCGGCTATAGGGGGATTTGGAATCTCAATTTCAACCAGAGAATAAAGCTTAGTGTAGAGCCACCATTGATGGTTGAAACTGCGAAACGATCATGGAATTCTCCGGTCGAAAATAGGGTGAGGTGAGTGAGCCTTCAGCCGGTGTCGATCCAGTATCCATTGCTTGGCAATGCTGAGGGTCACTTCCAAGAATTTCAGCACACAGACCATTCTAGGCATCATTCTAGGCATTTCGACATGGCTATGGGTCAAATACGATCAAATATTTAGACCCAGCGAACTGCAGACTGCTCGTCTTTAGTAAACCCTCCAGTTCTGGAGGTAATGACTTGACCATACTTGACCCATGCCGTCATTTATATAGTGTAACATAAAATATAATAAAATCCATGTAGAGTACATATACTCGTTCTTTAGACCAACAGTTAACTGAGTTAACTCAGCAATTTCAAGACTGAGTACTGTTTCTCTTGGTAACAAATTCACTAATTCCAATATAGCTGGGGATATCCTTTCATTTCCGAATTTCAACCAATGGTTTCAGCCCCTAGGGGCATGCGGGCTCCGTGCTCTTCGCGCTCTTTTCAGCGGATGCGGGTTTTGTGGCCACAGCTGCAAGGCGGGATGGGACCATACCAGTACTATATCTCTACTGTATCTACCCTTCCGAAACCAAACATGGCAATTGAACATCCTATATAAATGGAGGCTTTAATGGGAAATTAATCATTAATCTATAAGTGGTGGATAGAATATGGTATTTTCAATGATATTCCCATTTTATTGTTTTTTTCTTTATCTTTAATATTCCATATACTCCAGGATGACTATATTCTGTATATCTATGCAAAATGCATGGTTGAAGGGCATATTACCAACCATCAACAGGGATATGATGGGGAAAACATGGGAATGCACAATGCGAGGTCATCATTATCTGCACTCATTGTATGCTTGCAATATCACAGTCGCATTTCCTGGTTCCTGTTGGATGCCCGTGAAACAGCCAAACGCAACAAAACCTGATTGGTGGTTTGGAACATTTTGTACTTTTCCATATATAGGGAATAATCATAATAATCATCCCAACTGACTTTCATATTTTTCGGAGGGGTAGGTCAACCACCAACCAGAAACACTGTGCAAGCCATGGCCAAAAGCCAGAAACCAATCGCTGAAGATCCCTGGCATCTCAGCGGTTCTGACATGAAGTTCTCAGACGAACCCACAGTTCTCAATGAACAATGGGGGTTGAAGCATCCAAAACGGGATTCGCACTCCCTGAAAAATGGAGGTTGAACCACTGAATAGGGTGAAACCAAGCCATTTCTCGTACTATTTCTATTGGAATCCTAACACATCCTAAAACATTCCTCAGCAATTGACTGGTGTTTTGAGAGGTGTGGCTCAATCACCAAGCAGATTCACTACAGATTCACTACACCAATCGTGTGATTGAAGTGCGGAGGTGAGCAGAAGTAAAGCACATCAAAGAGATTGTATGACTATATGATACTGTTTGCTGTCATATGATTCACTGGATTGGTTTAAGGGAAAATCTACAGGAAACCATGGTTTTTACATGTTTTTACCATCAAATATAGGGCTTTCCTGTAAGTTTTCCCATCATCCAATTCTATGAATGATAGCCGAAACATGGAACAGATGACTCTCTGTAGCATTTTAAGTTCGCGCAGTTATGGTCATCAAAGTGAATGTGTATAGAACAGCGCACCTGCAAACACCAGTGAAATTTGTGCTTCAGGAAAGAAGAACATGCTGTGTAATTTGCAATGTTTTGAAGGAACTTCAAGAACAAACTGTTACTCGTAATGTTTCCGGCATCCCCTAGGGGTGCACTCGAGCGCTTTTCTCCACCACAGAAAGATAAAAACAGGCCGTTTTGGGTCGAACATCGAAAAAGAAGGCCAGCTAAGGCTCATTAGTAAGGTTGCCTGCAGCTGAGTACCTAAGCTTGTAACTCTTGCTGGTTCCTTTACATCACAACGCGCCTTCTGGTGTATCTCTAATTCTTGGGATGATTCATGCAATAGATGAGAATTCTCTTGTAGCTGACCAATCTGAAATGGCGGAACGACCCTCAACCCCCATCGACAATCCCCCTAAAAGGCGTAGCTAGTGTACCCTACCTATCCATCTATATTATATATCCAAACGTCCATCCACTCATCAATCCATTTATCAATCCATATCAGTCCATTCATCCACCTCTCAATCTTTCTCATCCATTTATATACCTTGTCCATTTACTTTATCCAGCTTTCTTATCCATATATTTTATTTGTCTATCTGTCTCTCTCTCTCTCTGTTTGTCTGCCTGCCTGCCTGCCTGGCTGGCTGGCTGGCTGGCTGGCTGGCTGGCTGGCTGGCTGGCTCTCTCTCTCTCTCTCGCTCTCTCTCTCTCTCTCTCTGTCAGTCTGTCTCTCAAGCTGTCTCTCTCACTACATATAAAATAAAAAATCAATCACATATATATATATATACATATACTATATACATATAGACACACACATATATATATACTATATACATGTAGACATATATATATATACATAGATATGACATTAGTCATGGGATGCTTAAAAACCCATCCATCTACTTGGTAGTAATAACCGCATCCCAAAATCATGGTGTGCACCCTACAGGGACGGCTGCGTGCGAACCTACGACAGCAAGACGGGGCGCTTGCAACGGCTGTTGGAAGGACATCATGCGAAGGCTGGAGTAAGTTTCGGGGGTCGAGTTGGGATGATCAATGGGCATAACTTATAGGATATAACAGCCACAAGTGTGCTTATCTAGTGACATATAGATACATATGGCAACAATGGGGTACAACCATCAACACTTTTTTATGACGCCAATGAGTTGGGAACAGCCTCATTTTACCACCAAGGAACAATGATTCATGGGATTCATGGTCAAAACGATGTAGAAAAAGGACGAGATGAAATGGATGTGCTGTTACAAGGTTCAATTGTGCAATTGAGTTTTGTTCAAGTGCCACCTCTGAATTCGATGGGATGGATAGGATTCATGGTCAGTCATTGGGTGAATGTTACCCCATCAATGTGAAATAAATGTTGTATATCGAAGGATATTTTACGCAGCTGACTTGCAGTTGGACTAGGTTTACTAATGCTAGCTAGCGTTAAGTCGTATCAGCTCGTAAAAGTCGTATTGGGACGCCGTGCGCCTGGAAAAAGTTCAAGTTTGGCTTCACCACAACTTTTAGTCATTGAACGATTTCATTGTTTTGGGGCCGTACGCCTGGAACAAGTTTAATTTTTATGTGCAACAGCTTTCGGAACTTGTATTTGATCATACTTTCAATGGGGAATACGCTTCTAAGATATTGTTGCCATTGGGGTTTCTGATCAGATAATTAGATAGGTTTGTTCTTGGGAATTGGGTTCCGCATTCTCTAGGCTTTGCCAAGTCTATTGTTAAAGAGAATGTGCCTTCAGAGCTGGAAAGACTAGGAACTGCTTGGGTATCCACCGCTGATCGGCTTTTGCCTGCGCAGCCATGTCTTTGGAACAAAAGAAACATGTGGTTCTTGAGGTCAAGGATTGCACGGGATACAAATACAGCTGCACACTTGTCTGATACAAACAGTAGGTGCCATTGCTGGCACGGTGTGGGCTTGTCTGAAAATATGGTGCCTGGAAATCCAAAGCTTAAGCTTGATTTTCTCTATCAAAATTGGTGCCATTTGCAGGACGGTATGCCTCATTTTCAGATACAACCATATATCATATATTTACCATTGTTAAGTAATGTTTTCATGTCGCTTCCGCAGAAGTCTTCGGTGTGAGTTTGCAATGAACTGAGACCTTGGAACCCTGCTGTTGGGTAGGTCTTGGTCCTTAACTGCAGGACAAACAATAACAAATCCATGGTGATAAATTTTGGAAAAACCACATATGATCAAATTAAAGCATTAAAGTGAAGAATGGTCATGCGCCTTTTTTGTAAGGCTTTTGTTTTATCCTCGATATTTAGACATTTAATCATATAGATATATATAAGTATGTGTATATGTATATGTATGAATCCCAAGGACGATGACCAGGGGCCCCAACGTCACCAGTCGCCCCCCGGACCGCTGCGCCAGGTCAATACGCTGTCCTTTGTCTCCTTCTGAGCGTCAGGAGAGGTCAGTCGTAACGAGTCATCAGCAGATGGGTTTTGTCTGGAAATGTTGGGAAAACCCACAAAGAAAAACCCATAAACCATCCATTGGTGAATCATGATCCCTATCCAAATAGGCATTAAACTGGGGATACTATACCCCAGTTTCGGTATTGGTTCAAAGGATATGAACCACCAAATACTTGATCTCGCGTTGGTCACAGATGCTACCGAGTTGATTACTGAAACATACTGAAACCATTTCATTTTCTCGTCTGCAACCGCAGATTGGTGAGCTGTGCTTAGATACAGCTGGACCTGCCGCGGTTTGGAGAAACGTGCTTCTGCACCTCCCAAAGGGACGTTGCGCTTGCACTTCATGCCATTTGCCGACGCGCCATGGCCATGTTAAAGACATGGCCAAAGACTCTTTGATTCGACCCGGAAAGAGAGTTTGCTGCCGTCTCTTGATGATTTTTCTGGCACAATATGGGGACATCCATGGTTACCAGTTACCAGATAATTACTGCAGATATCCCACGATTTTGATGGGACCCAGGGTGCTAATCGGATTTTGATCCATTCCGAAGGTTTTCATAAACTTTTCAGACTGCCAAGGTGGCTTGCAAAGTTGCCTTTCGATGGTTTTGCGGTACAAGGATCCCCGATCCCCCGATCGCAGAGAATGGCCTGATTACGACCAAGTCCGAATCCATTAGCGGCCTTGCAATTCTCTGCTTTCAGAATCCTCCAAGATGTTCCATGTTCATGTTTTTTTTACGTGTATCCTATATATATAATATATCCCATTATATCCCCATGATTTGGTAGAGATTTGTAGAGTATGCACTTGGTATATCTCACTGGTGAACTCTGGACCAGTTCCCCAGAGACAGCCAGGCATCCATCGACTTGCAGAGGTGGGGTCGATGGTGGTTTCCCAGAGGGCCTTTTGAGCGCTGAAGATTTGTCAACCTACAGTACTGTAGTGGATTTTCAGTATATAACCATCCATGGTCTTCCAGAAGTGTAAGAGCGTGGGCATTGTTGGCAATGAACTGTGTGAAGTCAATCAGAATCATAAAATAATTCGGAATGGGGGTCTCATTTTCATCGTTCCATATTTTACAATGAAAACAAAGTCCTGTTTGTAAATCGAAGTACTGTACTGTAAAGGCATCTCTGGGGTAGGTATTCCTGGAAATTGTCGTTGACAGACATCCCATAGGTTCTCAATGTGGTAAACGAACAAAGAAAGCCCTTCGCTATTCTTTACAATTTAAAGCCATACCCCGAAAGATAATTTTGGAGTGGTGATATATGGAATATGATAGACCCTACCAGATTTTCACACATTTTCTTCAACCATTTTCTGCATTTCATCACCCCTTTCGCTCGGACCTGCCACCAGGTTGTACCGTGGCTGGAAGGGCCGGGGTGTGGCCTCACAGCGTTATGCCGCCGCCTTACAGGCGCGGGACTGGAGATGATGTGAATGGATGATTTTCCCATGGAGGAGTGTGCATGGGTTTGCCTTGAACTGCAGATCTTTGCTCACTGGCGATGCTGTAAAGCCTGGGGTCTAGAGTGAAGCCGTTTGAGTTGTTCCTGTTATTACTTTGGATGATATGCCTGTGTGCACGCACTGTTTGTCCCTGTTGTCGACGCGCGTATAGAACGCAAGTAACAATACCTAGGAAATCAGGAGGCTGAAATTGCAGACCGGAACCAAGCAGGCTGAAAAGTTACCCATTCCTTTTGTTGGTCTTCAGTCCTTTCTTTTGCCCGACCTGTTTTTGCAGGAGCACGCTGGCCTGATTGTTTCTTTATCCGGGCATTTCCTTCCCCCAAAAATGGAAGGGACAAGCTTCAAAACTGGTTCCATAGGGATTTGTGCTGAAAGAAATGGAGAGAATATTTATGAAATAGGTCCTGCAAAGGTGTTCCCCAAACAAATTTGGAAGCAATCAATTTCACGGCCAACCTCCAACCTACAGACCAAGGATGACATGGCAACTCGATTCAAGGGGTGCCATTCCCTGCCATCGGAGACAAAAAAAGATGTGACAAACAAGAAGATGCGGCAATTTTGCCACATAATTCCAAATAAATGTTGTGGACAGTTTCTTCGACATGACGTTAGAGAAAACTTCTTTGAAAACAATTCAAGATGCCGCATGACAAAAAAGACAAAAAACAATCATCTTGCACACACAAGAAACGCAAAAGCAGCTCAAGCCGAGGCGCGGAACAGCCACAGTCCGAGTGCTTGACATCGCTTTCTGAACGGCCGTGCTGTGCATGTGCCAAGACAGGCCTCAGAATCTCAGAATCGAGTGGAGGCAGGTGGACCAGCCACAAAGCGTAAGAAAGAATGAAACAATCCTATGCACGCGTGAAACACTAGAGCAACAAGTAGGATCGAGCACCGCGACAGAAAATATGTCAAAAAGCAGCCTGTGCAGCGCAAAAATGGAATGCCAATGAAGGACGAATGCCATGTCCGTGCTGCAGGCTTGGACTGCCTCGCTACCCCAAATATCAATTTTTTTCTTCTTGTTCTTCTTGTTCTTCTCGATTCTCTTTTTATTTTTCTTTTCTTCTGGTTGTTGTTTCTGTGGTTGTGGTTGTGGTTGGGGGGGTGGTGGTGGTGGTGGTGGTGGCCGCCGCCGCCGTCGGTTGTCGCTGTTGTTGTTGTTGTTGTTGCTGCTGTTGTTGTTGTTGCTGCTGTTGCTGCTGTTGTTGTTGTCGTCATGGTTTTTGTACCCGTCCCCCTGATCAAGGCTGGGGTTGGAGGATTGATAGCTGTTTGAGTGGAGAAATGATGAAACATCTCCAAAATTGGGGATAGCCTAATTGCAGATAATTGCAGACTCATGTCAAACTTGGATCAATGAAATATAACAAAAAATGGTCACCCTGAAAAGCAGCCGATGGCTATAACATCCAACCATTATCAGTTATAAGTTTTAAGCTACAAACAGCGCGAGAACAGATGAAATTGGGTATGACATTAGGTGTGAACATTTGTGAGCTGGATGGAGCACCCTAGAAACTGGATGAAACTGGAATGTTTCGACAGCAGAGCTGGTTGGTCGATGTTGGTGGTTTCATTTTTTTTCAACTTGATCATGATTTCCAATGGACTGATATTTTTGAAGGGTAGACACAAAAAAAACAAAATAGAATTGGGAACCACCAACACTACGTATCAAGAAAGGGGTATGTTGACTGATCAACTGAAACTCAAACGAACTGAACAGATCTGAGTACGACACATTTTGTGGGCCCATGTCCCAGTTGATGGGTCGCTGTACCAAAATGATTCTGGTTGGTGGTTTCAAACATTTTTTATTTTCCATAATCCTTCTCATTGACGAACTCATATTTTTCAAGATTTTTATTGCACCAACCAGTGATTGGTTTATCTCACACCTTTGCGCTAGGTGAAACTCGAATATGACTCTGCCACGTCCATTCAGCAGGAATCCCAAACTGAGATGCCGGTCATTTTCTGAGTTTTTGATGCGCAGAACTCCCATTTTTTATCCATTTCCCGATGTGTCAAAACCAACATTTTGGGTAAGGCTTTTCCTTGTGCCGCGTGGAACTACAAGTATCAACAACTATCGGCCATCAGGTGTGCCGTGATTGAAATCCGATGCTTACCAGATTAGATATCACCAGCTCGGGGTTCCAATTCCACTTCTCAGCTTTCGAATGTTTTTGATGGTTTGATATAAACTCATATGGTTGTCAGCTACATTTGGTCAAATCCTGAGGTCCCTTACATTGAAGCCAGCAGATTTCTTCGAAGCAATCGCAATGAAGGGACAGTTTGCAGGACACTCCAATGGTTGATGGCAAGATTTGCCCCACCAATTCAACCAGTCAATGTCAAGTTTGGTGGTGAGACCTTCATTTATTGCTCAATTTCTCGATTTTTTGATGCTGAAGGCCCATACTGCTGTTGGCTATTCCATGATATTTATATAAGGGCTGCCGCCCCTGCCGCCGACCCCGGAACAAGCAACCGAGGTTGGCTGATCTTTTGGGCGTGTCCCACCATTTCGAATGGGCCATATTTCGTCTTTCAAACAACCTCACCTGCTTACCTAGTGTCATTTCTTACTTAGAAAACTGCCGCCCAAAACAGCCGTTGCTGCTGCTGCTGCTAACAGAAGAGTAGCAAGAGCACCTCCCGGCACCAAAACAGCAAGGCACGGAAGG